AGTTTCCTGCTGTTAAACTAAGTTTCCTGTTAAAGTAGGTATCCTGCTATTAAATTAAGTTTCCTGCTGTTAAACTAAGTTTACTGCTGTTAAACTAAGTTTACTGCTGTTGAACTAAGTTAACTGCTGTTGAACTACGTTTCCTGCTGTTAAACTAAGTTTCCTGTTAAACTAAGTTTCCTTCCGTTAAATTAAGTTTCCTGCTGTTAAATAATCAACGCTTTCATGTCATACGTAAGGTTTAACTAAGTTTCCCTCTGTTAAACAAAGTTTCCTGCTGTTAAACTAAGTTTCCTGTTAACCTAAGTTTACTGCGGTTAAACTAAGTTTACTGTTGTTAAACTAAGCTACCTGCTGTTAAACTAAGTTTACTGCTGTTAAACTATGTTTACTGCTGTTAAACTAAGTTTCCTGTTGTTAAACTAAGTTTCCTGCTGTTAAACTAAGTTTACTGCTGTTAAACTAAGTTTACTGCTGTTAAAGTAAGTTTCCTGCTGTTAAACTAAATTTCCAGCTGTTAAACAATCAACGCTTTCATGCCATACGTAAGGTTTTTCCAACTAATATTATCTAGCTAACCCTCTCATGAGAATGAGGAAACAGTTAAATATTGTAAACCAGTAATGTTTACCAACAGCCTAAGTATTTTATCTTACTACATTAGGAACTGTATTGTCGACGTAAGATAAGACCTAGAGGTCAGTTTTATCCTCTGTGTATCTGAATAGTGAAATGAAACAAACTCGGTCAATTTACAACAAGATCACATTTTTCAGATGCGAGTTCATATATTACAATGAATTTTTCTTCAGTGAGTACTTTAATTACAAGAGGAAGGGTGCTTACTAACATGTTGCAATACATTTTTCAAGCATCGTCAAAAAGACGGGAGAGCGACAAAAACTATCTTTATATTGGAGAACGAATCCAACTAGTGTCAACGATGTCAGATGATAAGACTACACTAGCAGCTGAGTGCCGTAGAAGGCTCAAAGTCAATGGAGGCAGCATGATACACAACAAACATATTCTTCGTTAACATACAAAGTACATATATAGAGTCCGCCTGAAGAAGTCATAGAAGGCAGAAAGGTCGAGCTGTTGATCTTGGATACCTATTATGTTATTCTATATGTTCCTTCGCAATAACTTGTGTATGTATTATCTACTATAAATAGCATATATAGCAATAATGCACCGATGAGAATCACAATTGATAATACAACTTATACAATTTTCTGAAAATTAACGTTATTAGAACAAGACACCTGTATTTCACATAGGTTATGTTAATGCCAGTCAAATCGTACAGTAAAATACTAGTGTTAGCAGAGTAACGGAGTGGGGAAAACCATGCAGTATACAGTTGTCCATGGGCATTGTAAATCCTGGTTTAACATAGCTAGTCCGAATTAACTGACACCATCAACCTTTATCAAAACAAAGAGAAAGACTCTGAATTTATCTCAGCACGATCAAACACATTTAAAAAGCAGATATACAATTATACTGGAGTTTTCCTGCACTTATCTAGAAAGATAAGTGGGTTATCTGACTAGATGTATTGAAGTAAAGGATTTCACCCTGAAATCTTTAACTGCCAGATTTCTTTTTTCTTCTTCTTTCGTATAATCATCACTTATATATAAAGAACATCAGAATAGATATCAACATGAATTTATCACATACACTGTATGTTATCGCTCAATAATCAGTTGACCCCCAAAAACTCCCTTGGAGCTCGTATTTCACATTATTCGGGATTTTGTCCATTTCCAACATATCCCATCATGATATTAAGCAAAACAATTCTGGGTACACAAAATGTATGGAGATGGATTAAGTTAAGATTGTATCCCTTTGTGATTACAACAGGTGTTGAAAGGTAGGGAAATTATACAGAGGGAACACTTTACTACAGCGTCACACACACGGACACTCTTGGAAACCTGGAGTTAATTCGAAAATATAATCACAAGAATGCAGGGATAACCAAAACAAAAGGAAAGCCACCTTGAACCTCAATAAAACGGAGAAAAACGTGTGTTATGTTTATTAGAGTATGAGGACTTCAATATTGCTGTTGCCTGTAAGGCGTTATTTTAGAACTATTTTCTCTTTAGGTGACGCTGGTACATGATAGCTGAGGTTGAGCATGTGGTAATTGAACACTATAATCGTGTGGTCAGTTCCATTCATGACTACTGACTTGTAAGATATAACAACTCCAAAGAATTGTCTAACCAAGCAACAGAATGAACGATTGATGAAATGAGCAACTTATATTACAATGCACTGTATGAAATATCCTCGTGCTATTGTGTTCGTGTTTCCGTGTACTTAAGAAGTAACACGATTTCGTACTCTTATCCCTAGAAAACTGTTGTACTTACTAATGACTGCCATAGACAAGTGTACAATCTACTATTGGAAACACACAAAGTAACAACATAAAACTCCTTTAAATATAACACAAAAAGAATTTCAATAAATTTCACCTGCCGGAATTTAAACAAAATCATATAATTTAATAAATTTATTTATTTTAGCTATTTAGTTATAATAGAACCTGTTATTATTTGTGTGCAGTCTTATACCGGATTTGGTTAATGGTAAGTTACGTTTTCATTGTATTCTTTTTAAGTTTGATGAAATTGGAAATTCATTGCAAAACAAAATTAACGTTTCATTGCAAACAGTGTTTATCGATATGAGAATTACTCCTCTGCTCTTCTGAAGCGGAAAACAATTGACGAGGAGATGTGGCCTCATTTGCATACGACACTTTCGTACGTTTAACAGACTACAAAAAAGACCAGGCCATGAATAACATACATCACTCTTTTTTCCGGTATGTGTTAATGTTGAGCAAGATAACATGTTTATCAAGCAAACTCCACTTGTATGCGTGCTTTTTAATCAGTTATTAATTCTTCTGTTTTCCGGAAGAACTTCCGGTAATGTTTGTGTCAGTTTACTGACGATGGTCAAAAGTATATGACTAGACGATACTGCGCCAAACAAGCAATGCTGAAATTAACTCTAACTAGTCTTATTTCGTGAAGATTTCTTGTACTTTAATTTATTTAATGATACATATTGCATAAAGTGAATGAATATTTATAACAAGTCCATCAATACTAGTTCATTTCTTAAGGACTGCAAAAGGGCGAAAGTCACTAAAAATTCTACATCCGGAGATATGACTTCTGTATATGTATGCCTATATCTGTTCTCTCTGTTGTGATTACAATTTGAGAGACATGTTCATAACTCATTTTACGAATATCTGACATCAAGTAAACCGCTTACTGAATCTCATTATGGGTGCGGACCTCACCATTCTACAGAGACTGCTTTGATTTCGCAATAAAACATCTCGTGTAAAAGCTGTGATTAATGGTCTGCTATATCCTTTATTGTATTTGGCGAGCTTGGAATTGTTAACCGATTCTAATGCATTTGATTGTGTGTACCTCTCGTGCTATGATAGGGAGTTGCAAATTGTATTTTATGTTGCTGATGTATGAATAGAAATATTTCAAACCTTAAACAAGTGTATGAAAAATCTAGGAAAGTGTATTTTGTAGGAAGTCTATATACTTATTTAGCATGATATAATATTTGTAGTAATCTATTATATCTATCATATGGACATAGATACGAATTATGCCTGTGTCTATAATCAACGTAAATTAGTTTCAATCAAGAAAAATTGTTTAATGAATCCTCAGTTGTCTCCCTTGGAGAGCCTCGAATCAAACCTGTTCTTAATGCGTCATGGTTAGATTATTTTTATAAAAGAAAATATTTGAATGTTACTCATTTGGTTCAGGAAGGATAAGCTGTGGTCATTTTTTTCTGACATGTATATGAATTACAAGTTGAGGGTACAAAATCGAACAGGGAAGTCGTTTGTTATTAAAACAATTCGCGATCAATAAACATACCTCTGGTTGTCAGTATTTGTAATGTTATGTCATACCATGCTTTGGCGTTTTGTCCATAATCACTAATTAGATATTGTATATTTGTAGCACAGTAACACTGAAAAGTATTCCATGTGTTGTTCAACACCGGAGGATCATACATTTGTACCAAATAAACGTATACCATGTAGTTTTATTACAGATCGTACACCATAATAAACAGGACACATATTTATGAGAAGAATTTGCTGTTTCAGT